TTTTTCTTCCCTGGTCTCCACTTGGCTCCATCTTTCAGAGGTGAAAATGTAGGAGATTGTAACCAAGAAGTCAAGGCTCCATTCATCCACTCAATTGTTCATTTCAATAAACATCATTAAGCCTGTTACTTTGAAGTCTTCTTTGGGTAAGTTACCCAGTTCTGTTGTGCTTAGATTTTCCCCTAGGTTTTTGTTCTTTCACTTGTGGTATTCCTGCGTCTCTCATTTTAGGCAATAGTATATGTTAATTTCTTTGTGTTGCGCTAAACAGCTTTTCTTTCTATAACTAGATGTGTTGGACTTATAACAGTTTGCAGGGTATAATCCTACGTTGTTTGGCCAGCACACTAGGGTATCTGTTACTTTATAAACTGAAGTCTTTGGAGGACTGGAGGCCGAGTGCTGGCACATGTTAGGAACTAGGGCATCTGGAGGCAAAGAGTTTCTGTTGCAGAGGACCTAGAGTTCAAGTCTTCCTAGAGGTTGTGGGTGCTAGAGCTGAGGGGGAAATCTGCACCCTGCTTCTCTAGGCCAGTTCCTTAGAGTTTTCCCAGAAGCCTTAGGTCAGTAGTGACCCCTTAGCTATGGTCCAGCTCTGGATTGCAGTTTCTACAACTCATATTTTTCCCAGGAGTGCTCACACAAACAGTTACAGGGGTGCTGGGGGTTTGCACTATGGATGGGGCCCATGCCCAATAATGTTCACAGGTAGATGACAGGCAGGTGTTTCTCATGGTGTTTGGGAACAGTTGTAAAAGTTAGGATTGCTTGCAGGCTCTCTCAATCCTCTCTCGGTTTTGCTCCAGGAGAGGGTTAAGATCAGGAGGAAGCTGCAATGGGTCTCTTCCCAGCAACTTCCCTGAACACACTATCCTTCCCAGCACAAGCCCCTATGCTGGGCCTGAGTGCTCAGAGCACTGACTAATGGTAGCAAGCACAGTAAGTGAATGTTAGCCCACAGTTGCCCCCAGGAAGGGCTGGGACAGGTGTTTTGCATAACAAAGCCAGTTATAGAGAGGAGATTGTATTGTGAAGGGGCCAGTGATGGACTATCCACTTCCAGTAATTTCTACTAACTGGACATTCCCCTGAGGCTCAAACTCCATCTGCCTACACCCAGGGGTTATAGGTTCAAGCTGACAGTCACTGCTTTGAAGGACCTTTTATACTGGCAGTCATAAGAACAGTCCAACAGCCGCCCTCAGGCACCCTTAGTAGTAAGGACTCAGGATGCTTCATCCTCTGGCCCTGACTCCCTGGTTGATTGCTAGCAGTATGGCACTGGCTCTTGCTGTGTCCTTCTGCTCCCTAGCACTTGAACATGGATCTCTGGCCTCTAGTATCCTATAGAGAAAAGCCTGTTGTCAGTCAAGTTATTAACAGTAACTTTTATTTATGTCCTTTTTACTAAAACCTTGTAGTTACTGACAGTGACATCTTGGAGGCAGTTCCTACCAGCTTTCAAGAACAAGGAGAAATGAATCATCAAGAACTTTGAGTCAGTTGATTTCACTGACTCATAAAATTGGTAACTTGAACTTTGCTATGGTAATTATTTATTCAGCAGAAATTGCAATTATTACAAATCATGGTTTCTCTAACGCTCGCAAACGTGTTGTAAGACACAAATACATCCTGACTGCATATCTTTCTAGCTCTTTTTTTTATACACATAGGTGGTAAAAACTCTTAAGGAAGGAAATGAGTTCACCCAGTCCAAGATACCGGTTAACATTAGGGCGGCGTATGATTGCAGAGGGGCGGGCAGGTTTCTGGGGTCAACTATGCTCTTTCTTGGCCTGAGCAGTGTGCACAGTTGTAGAAAAGGACCACAGGCTTAAAAATTACTTTTTTAAGTATGACATTTGTCACTTATTGAAGATCTCTATATGGGAAGAAAGAAGGGGATCTGTCAGTTAGAGCCAAGGGCTAAAATATCTCAATTCTTGACATCAATTTCTTTGACACACAAATTTGGGTCAAATTCTTGACTTCCCCATTTGCAGTTATTCCTGGAATTGCTTTGGGATTCACATACTAAACAAACTTCAAAGGCTAGAACATTTGAGAACACTTTCAAATATACATTTTGAAAACAAAGGAAGTTACAGTAGTCACTCCAAAGAATGGGACCGATAAAGGGCTCATAATAGTTGTAGAAGGCACCAGTATATTAACTTTGTTACTAACTGAATTTTTTACTCTAAAAATAATAGTTCTGTAAAGAGCAGTTCTTTAGTACATAGGTTTTTCTCGTTATACTTTACTACCATTTAATGCCACATTTCATAAATATTAAAAATTAGCATGGGCCTCCATGGTGGCACAAGCACAGCACTATGAAGCTCTCCATAGACACTGCACCATGAGTTCGATCCCCAGCCAGGGAGGTGACCCACATGGCACGGCAGACCTCTCCTGTTTTGCTCAGTGCTCCCCTCAGCAGTGTATTTTGGTCAGTTCTCCTGTTCTGTTCCCCACTGTCTCTGGTGAATTCTCTCATCCCCTGTATCTCTGGTTCTTGAGTGCATAAATAAATAAATTTAAAAAAAGTAGTGTTAAAAACTTATTTATTTTTAAAGATTTATTTATTTATGCATACAGAATTGGGGTACAGGCCAGAGGCTCAGAGGTGGTGAGAGGATTCACCAGAGACAGAGTGGAGAGCAAAACAGGCAGATCGATGAGGTACACTGCTGAGGGGAGCAGCAGGTGGGTCAGGAGAGGTCTGCTGGGCCATGTGGGTCACCTCCAGGGCGGGGATTGAACTCATGCTGAAGTGGCTTTAGCTTCTTAGTTCTGTGCTTTAACCCACTGTGCCACCAGGGAGGGCCCAAAAAAACTTATTTTTAATACTAGTTCACAAAAATTAAAAGTGAGTAGAAAATATAATTTTGAAATTTAAATTTTATTTTATATAGCTAACCCCTTTAGACTTTTCTTGTTTGTAGTTTCATATCCCTCATAAATAGTTTCCTCCAATTCTAATAGGATTCCTTTTATTTCTTCTTGTTGCCTGATTGCTCTACCTAAAAACCTTTAATCCTAAATTAAATAGAAGCAGTGACAGTGTGCATCCTTGTCTTGTTTTTGATCTGAAAAGGGAAAGTTTTCCAGTTAAGTATTTTAATAGGTGTGTGATAGATAACCTTTATTATGTTGTGTGTTCCTTCTTTTGTCATCTTATTTAGAATATTTATCTTAAATGGAAATATTGGATGGTTTCACTTATAGGAGGAATATATAGTGCAAGCAAACTAGGGATCAGGAAAAACAAAACAAAGAAAAATTATCAGGCAAATTATAAATATGAGACATTCAGTGGCGGGGGAGGAGGATCAAAATAGGGGAGCACAAGAGACTATGGTGACTATTCACAGATGACTTGGTGGAATTTTTTTTTTTTTTTAAA